GTATTGCAGCTTCGCAGTCAAATTAGGTTGGGTAGGGTGAAATATACTCTAGTTAAACATCCAAATTTTGCACGATTTGGTCTACTAGGAAAAAAGTTATGAACAAGAAAGCATCAATGCATTTCACCGAACACTTTTGAGCGCTACTGTAAGTGGTGCCAAGGGTAGGCCTTTATGTCCCTATGGGACGACCGACGCTGGAGGCGCCGAAAAGTGAATGGAGTCTCGCTTGAATGAGAAATTCTGGTCTCTTTTATCTAGCGGTCTTCAAATTTTCGACAGGGTATTTACTTACCACTGCTTTACTTACCCGAAACTTAATTATGCCCTTATTCATGTCTCTTCTGGTTCTTTCACAGTCATCCAAGTGTTACGTTCATGCTGGTCCATTGGATGGATACTTGTTCGAGGAGCGTGCATCACGAGGTGTTTTGGATCAAGCTGAAACGAATCCCTTCTAATTAAATTGTGGTTATGGTTTGTGAGCCGGAATGGATCCATAAATCAAACGAAACGGAACTTCCTTGGGAGAGGGACCATAACCAGGGCAATTTTTCTCATAACCTGTTTATTAGGGTGTCCTTGAAATTCGTTGGCAATTTGCAAACGGCGTCGCGTTACGCAACGCGTTGTGATTCTGCATAATGGTTTCGCAATACGGAAAGTACTCGCGATGGGCTATCTTCTGGGCTAGCTAGCTCTGAATTTCCTTTCCTGCCCTTCTCACAATAAAGCAGTGAAAATGAGTGATATTTGCCACCACCGCCGATGTTTGGATGCGTCAGCGGTTTGGTGATAATAGTCCTTCTAAGAAACTATGACTTCGAAGATATGCCGAGGTCCGGTCGCCCAGCCACCGTCGATCATCAAGGCATTCTGGATGCTCTGGACGTCCTTGCGCGACTTGAGCAAGGTCACACAGGTACCCCGTTTCAGCATCCACAAAGTCCTTATTGAATCTGGCAAGGTGTCGAAGAAGCGTCGAGTTGTCCCTCGCGACCTCACGCCGGCACAGGCAAGGAAGCGGGTTGAGCTGTGCTCCGACAATCTCAATCCCTCTTTTGCCAAGATGAGAAGTGGGTCTATACTCTAATCCTGCCAGCAAAATAGTCTGGGTGGATTTCGAAGCGCCCCCGCCAAGCCGTGCAAGGAGAAATATGCATAGAAAGAAGCGCCCTCTGTCATTCTGGTTCTCTCGCCACGGCGTCTTCCACTACAGCATCCTACCCAACAATGCCACAGTGACGGCAGAGACCCTTTCTAAAGGATTGGGAGGTCAAGGTGAATGCAGCCGCCATGTCCCAGAAACTTGCAAATCCGTGGTTGCTCGGGGACAAGGCGCAGAGCGCAGAGCACAGAGCGAGAGATACTTAGGCGGTCCTGGACAGGCTGGGCATCAAGACGGTCACGCATCCACCGTATAGCCCGAACATCAGTCCATGCGATTACCGCATCTTCGGTTCATGCAAAATTTCTTGGACAGAAAACAGCTGAAGAACGAGCGCGACCTCGAGGATGTGCTCGAGGACTCGGCCGAGTCGCGGCCGGCCGGCTTTTGGGAGGATGGAGTTGCCTCTCTACCCGATCGTTAGCGAAAAGTGGTGGTATGCATGAAGATTATATCATGGACCAGTAAGTTCAACTTGGTGAGTTATCTTTACAAGCTCAAAAAAAACGAATGGCCAACGAACTTCATGGACATCCTAATAAGGTGATCATAAAAAGTGAGTCCGACCGAAAGTATTTACTACCCAAACTTTTCTTCGAGTCGGAATGATACGAATGGCCAGCTGACACTTTGACTTTTAACTCTTTTCTTTATAAAATCGTGAAAGGGGGCTTAGGTGGCGGACTACAAAAATTCCTTGCCACCGCGCAAAGTTTGGGATTGGCGCCTGCGGTAACGCTATGCAGTGATCCCTGGGACCAGGGAATCGAATTCTTCAGTGAAATTCATATCAGATGTATGGGAACGATAAATGGTACTAATATATACAGCGAATAACAGATTGACCACTAATTTCTATGTCGATGCTCGTTTATCATAACTAGTATCTCCTCGCATTGGCAACCAAATCAATTCGACAACCACGAATAAGCAGTCGAGCGTTCCATTCGTCTTAATCCGGAGCCAGCGATACGCTTAGGCAGTGTATGAGTCAGTCACCTGAGTGCTTCTGAGGCTTGGAATAGGAAGAAGCGCTAAGATACTTCAAAGTCGCATTCTTTGAGAAAAAGTGAAGCAGAAATGAAAATTCGTTCGGTTTGAGTATCTCGTTGACGTGTGGATCACAATGGAATCCAACTGTGAGAGCAACCAAATTCTTACCAAGCGTACATAAGCAATAGCTAGGGTTTTAGTAACTGAGGGATTTTCCCTTCGATCTTATTTCCAATTGAATTATGCTTAGAGCACCTTTCAAGGAGTAAGATTTTTTTTTCTGCACAACAGTCGCCACATTTTCGGTTAATGACACATTGCACAACAGGTGGTATATGAAAGTTAGGTCAAGATGTCAAAGAACTAGGGATAATCTAAAATAATGTTGTTTGACAATTGGAATTCTATTCGGAGTGTTCCCTCGACCAAATCCTCACGCTGTATTAATTTTCTGATATAGATTTTTCATCAGGTAAGGGCAGAACATATATGTTTTATAAAGTAATGTATTTCCCATTGTCAACTCCGTCATTTGGAACCCTTTCTTCTTGCTTAATTAGTCGATTCTGTAGATCGTCATGCATTCGCAAAAATGAAAATCACTCATTGCAATGCCGATAAACAAGAGGGAATTCTCCTCTAGAAGAAAAACTGCTGCTGAAGAACAGAATTAAGAATACCTTTGCAGCCAAAAAACTGTTGTTTTCAAAAGAAAGGGCTTTCAAGAACCATTTCCGACCGACAGAACCTCGCTAGCATTGTGGCTATGACCACAATCTCTTCCCAACAATTCCTTCACTATTCTGTAAAGAGAACTCAAGAGAGAGAGAGTACATTACAAATGTCCGGATTCTTTTTATGAAGTATCGCTACACTCCGAATCCCATCCCACCATAAATAACGGGCCTGTCTTCTTTGTGTAGGTCAGGTCCGCTTCTGAAGTAATCCCAAGTAGGCGATTTCGAGTGGGCACTGTAGAAGATGTGGTAAACAAACAGCCAACTGGTTTTCGCATAGAAACTGCTGTGCTATCGAAGCACTGGCGACATTCGAAAATTTTTCCCGGGATTCACTCCAGTACTACTGAACTATATTCGCAGTCATCGGATCGTGTCTCTTTTATAAGTCTCGCTCCCGAAAAAGCTGAGCGATTTCTCCCTCTCTTACTATCAGTCCTTCCATGCCACTGATTGCGAGTGTGAATTATTGGAAAAAGGCTCAAACCTCGCCCTCACTGAAACCAAAATTTAACTGATCAGCATTAAGCACATTGCTTGTATAACGCAAAACATAGCTACGAACAGGTATCAAAGAAAGTGCATGCTCTTATTCACCCATCTGAACCTGAAGCGTGACCTGAAAACAGGTCACGCTTTTTTTTATCTGGTAGTTTGTTGGTTGAGAGCGCATTTCTTCGAGTAAAGATTCCGACTCGTGCATTGGAGCATCATTCGGTAGCCTATAAAGAAATAAAAAATCATCAACTTTTAAACAATGGTGAGGACTTGAGTCACATGACTGAGGTTTTAATCGGAGCAAATCAGGTTTATATATTGCGTGGCACGATCGTGTAAATTAAAAAAGGATAAAGTCTTCGGGCGTTGAACAATACTGTCCGAACGACGCGTACATGGTAACGATTATGGTAACGATTAGCCGAGGGATGGAAGGCTTTGCTGCCCTGGGCGGATCGATGGCGCATTTAAGAGTTTACAGGAAAGTTTGCGAGGAAGTTCTTTTGAAAGAAAGCTCTTTGGAAATCATTTTCGCAATCCAGTTCCAAAACCATCTATCAGAATTATATTCATTGGAGCGATCGATGAGTTCCTACCATCCAGTTGCGAATTCTCTCCCATCAAAGAGGTGCTAGAGAGGACATAGCAAGTGTAACGAAAAATCAAAACGTCTGTGGGTATGAAATTTGAAATTTATTATATGCCCATACGGAACATGTGAAAGAACAACAAAAGCAAACAAACGCATCAAAATGAATGACCTAGAACACGAAGTTGGTAGACGAAGTTGAAATAGCCAGGCCAAGGAGTTCAAAGCGAAATTTCGACGCGTGTTATCGGCTGAAGGCTTAGCTCTGATGGCTTTTGCTCAAACTGCGTTAGCCGAATGCTGATGATGATAGGAGCAGGCGGTAGCAGTGACTATTCCGTGTGCGTTCAGTGATTGGATCCTTTTCTTGAAGAACATGCATCTCACCGTCAGAGAGGCAGTTCAATCAGTAGTTGTTTCTTGAATAGTGAACAGCGCATCTAGCAAATGTGTTGCTGATAATTTCAGCCATTGTGCTCGCTCTTCTCCACTGATAGCACTCGTAGAAATACTCACCACTGAAGATGAAGACTGTAGGTGAAGTTACAAAAGCCCTTTTGCGTGCAACTGTTTACTCGTATGTCGATGATACTCAGAGGATGTTCAAGAAAGCGATCACCATCACTTGCTATCGAGTTCGCATTACTCATGCAGAATTATTGAATCGTAGGAGAAAATTGACCCTCTCACAAGTTCTGCATTCCGATTTGCGTAATCTGCTGTGCAAAGATCCAGAACATGTTTTCAAGGCCACCTCTGAGCAAAGGATTGTTAGGCTCATATGATAAAGTTTTGTAGAACTTAGCCGCTTTAGGCAACTATGTCTACATTTATCCATATGTGTACACATTTGCAAATACAACACATACCGGTTCAGTTTGGATAGTTCTCACATTAACCATAGACCGATATTTGGCACTATGTCAACCTTTGAAACATCGTGCCATTGGAAAAAAGAGGTAGGCAGTTCAAGTTCAACCCTTCATTAATTGACTCAAAGACTATAACTTTTCAGCCGGGTGAAACGACTAATGGTGATTGTGTCACTATTGGCAGTGCTCTTCTCTTCTCCACGATTCTTTGAAGTTCACGTTGTACAATTTTGCAACAAATACAATGAATGTGTTGCTGTAATCGATCGAACAGCGCTCTTCGAGGTGAGTGCTATTCTGGTGCCTATTACTGTGATACATTGTTGAGGCATTTATTCGTTTAAGCTCTGAAGAGGGCGATACCGCCCAGACGTCAAACTAATGAAGTTTTCGGAAATGCTAGGTGATGGAGTCGTTTGCTCTATCTTGCTCATTACGGTAGTTAGCCGACGCGCTCAGTCGTCACGGAATCGCAGGCGACGAATGCCGGTTGAATGATGATGATAGGCCTTGCCTGCTGAGTGCGATTAGTGTATTTGGTAATGCAGTGAAGATGCCCGCAAGGCAACGGAGCGCCAGCATAAGCCCGACCGGTATACGAACGGCCCCTCACCGAGGGCGCAAGCTGTCACCTGTCGGGTAATGAAGAGGAAGAAAGGCAAGAAGACCGCCGATACCAATGGGTCCTAGGCTTAACAGCTGAAGGAGATTGCCTTGGAAGGCGTCTGCAGATCGAAGGGAGGATGAGGTTCGTGTAATACATTTTGTGTATGTATTATGTATGCTTCATTACGAATCTCCTTCGCTGAGGGTTCTCTCTCACTGAAGGATCCCCAGCCGATTAGTGACGAGG